CCCAGTGGTGCACAGATGCTGGGGCAGATATGATGAGCTGCTGTCACTCTCCAGCAGCAGTGACACAGATGACTGCCTCGCAGCTATTCAAAGTCTGAAGTTTGACAGTAGCTGCGGCTCATGGGCTCGGTGCAGTACAGCACACGCCCCATTCACAGTTCAACAGTAGCAGTGAAATTAAAACAGTCAACCAGGGGTCACTGGATATGCAGTATCTGTGGCCAGAACCTTCCTGCACAGACACCTTGAGGGCCGCGCTCTCAATTAAAAATGAAATTATTGTCACGCTAACGCGTAAATAGAGTCATAAATGGTCACAATTTATTTATTTATTTTTTTCTTTGATAGCGGGACCACACTGTACTTCCTCTTTCATCCTCACACATTTTGGGGTCCAGTCGCAGGCCGAATTGGACTGTCCAGCACGGCAGATCCAACCCGCCGGCCAACAGTTCATAACAACTTTTTTCTAAGAGAAGGCTCACGTGTTGAGGCTCCTTTTAACAGAGACGTAAGAGCTGCGCTGCTGCCAGACGGATGATAATTAGCGGAATTTTCCAATCGATTCTCAAAATCCCATTGACAGTGGAGCTTGTTTTTATTGTCATCCCATGTGACCCCTTACAGCCAATCAACGCAACATCAACAATGAAGAGTGGCCCGAAAATACCTGCAGAATAATTGGTTAATAAAGAGCTAATTTTACTCCAAAATACTATACATTTGGACTGCGGCGTAGTACCTCAGTGCAGTACTACAGTAACTAAAGCTGGCAACGCTCTTATTTGACTATGGCTAAATATTTTATATAATAATATAATATTTTAATCTCATCAAATGCCATTAATTCACAGTGACTCGTGCTACTCCACATGTTAGCTACGTAACGAATGTGCAGTCAGATGTCAGAGAGATATGACAGCGTCAGCCAGTCGGCTTCTTCATGACAGAAACCTGTAGTACGCTCCTGTCCATGATCTGACTCTCAGATAACCTCCAGTCTCGGATTTTGAGCTGCACACGAGGTAGAAATTTCACTGACAAAAATGTGACACTCAAAGGTCACCAGCATTCGCCTGCATCGTGTCACACGCCTCACGGTTTTTCTACTCAGTCGCTCAGGTGAGGCAGCGACTTTTTTTGTTTGTGTCTTTTTGTGCACGTCTTCCAGTCACTACGTATTGAAAGATAGCATTCCAGAACAAGAACAGTCATTTAATCAACGATTCATTTACAAAAGAGAATTTTGTTGTTTTGTTTTTTTTGAATTTGTATAAAACTTTGCAACTTCTCAATCTTTTTTTATGAGATTTCATAAAATTTCACAGAGATTTGACTGGTTTTCATTTAAAAAGCTACACAAATATATATATATATATACATATATTTATATATATACATACATATACATACACATATATTTATATATATTTACGTATCTTGAATCTATTCCCTTGGCTCTTTAGTCTGGTCTCAGGGATGACTGTCAGCTGAGGCAGGACCACCGAGGCTTTTAAAAAATATACAAAGTAAATAATTCAATCTCTCAAGTTCTCAGGACAACCCAGGTTCAGCAAAACTTCTCCACTTGGACCATTACAGAGACGTCTCCCATTAGTATTACTAACTATAGAGTGCAACTTAGTATTGAGCATCATCTGCAAAGAGAAGTAGTTTTAACTACAGTACTGTGTCGTATATACAGTATACCATACAAAATGTAAATAGTAAAATCTTACGTTGCCTCATTTGTCCTTTCAACCATTAAATAACGTGCAAGTATTTTTTTTTTTATCGCCAGCAAACAAACCTAAAATACCTAAAGTACAGCAGCAAACCTAGAATAATTAAACATTAATTAATTACAACTGATGGAATTACACAATGTTCTGGGGCCATATAGTTAGTCATGAAAACATATCATGAGACACGTTAAGACAACAGAAAGTTACTGAACATGCTGAACCAGTGAGGCAGTAGCAATTACAAAACAAGGCACGTAGTCAAAACGCTAAAAGAAATAAATCACAGGAGGAAGAAGCTCCGGGCACTGACAGGTTAGTGACTAAAGAGCTCAGGAAGGTCCTTCATGTGTCAGCGACGGTTTCTCAGAAAAGAATTAACCCCTAATTGACTCTGCAGACTCTCTGATGCTTTGACCACACCCAGCAGTCCATTTCTATTCACTGTTCTTGGGTTACAAACGGTAACAAACTTTCTCGAGTGCCGACTGATGACATACCAGTTTTAAAAAAAACAGAGCAGCAGAAACAAACAGACTGAAAACACCTGGTGTCACCTGGTCCAGTAACTGCTGTACATGGAAGCATCAAGTGCTTCTTCAGGAGTGGGAGAAAATCTGCGATGAGAATTAAATGAACACATGCTGATATCAAAAAAAAAAAAAAAAAAACCCAAAACAAAACAGACTTTGGCATTTTATAATTGTTTGTTGTTATGGTAATATATTTTATAGGTCTGTCAAACCATTAAATGTTTAATCTGATTAATGAGAGAGTTGGTTAATAAGGTTAATAAGACGTTGGTTGATGTTTGGTTTACAGCAGTGATTCCCAACCACACGAGTGCGCTGTGAAAAAATTATTTGTCTTTGTTTTCACAATGCGACAATGACACACAAACAATTACTAATTTAATATTTTTCTCTAAGGTGGCAACAGACGGCTATAAATTCCTGAAATTTGAAATTCTTCAATATAAAAGAACAGCAACAGAAGAGAAATAGAAGAGGGTATTTGGACCCCCATCCCTTCCTCAAGTGTATATTACTTACATAAACAAGACCCAAAAAAACAATTGGAAGATGGTTGGTGACTGAATGACAGTATATTAAAGAATGTAGGCCTACCTGTCTCCAAACAGGAAGTGTGTGACACACTTGTTCAAATGAATCTGTCCAGATTATTATTCCCATCCTTTAGATTATCCACAGATGAAAAGAAAACAGATGAGAAACACTGAGCTCAACCTTTTCTTGGTCAGTGCCCACCCCTGCCTGTGCTGTTTTTATATCATATATGTTTAAGAGCAGAGTGGTAGGACGCCACTAACTGAAAACAGAAGTGCGTGTTTATCAGCTGAAATATGGCTCCAGTCACAGAGAACATCCACACATCACTGCTGTGGCATTCGATTGTGTCCTGATTTCTCAAGTTAGTGGCAACACGAGTGGAACGTCAAAAAGTTTATATATATACAGTATATATATATACTGTATATATATAAACTTTTTGACGTTCCACTCGTGTTGCCACTAACTTGAGAAATCAGGACACAATCGAATGCCACAGCAGTGATGTGTGGATGTTCTCTGTGACTGGAGCCATATTTCAGCTGATAAACACGCACTTCTGTTTTCAGTTAGTGGCGTCCTACCACTCTGCTCTTAAACATATATGATATAAAAACAGCACAGGCAGGGGTGGGCACTGACCAAGAAAAGGTTGAGCTCAGTGTTTCTCATCTGTTTTCTTTTCATCTGTGGATAATCTAAAGGATGGGAATAATAATCTGGACAGATTCATTTGAACAAGTGTGTCACACACTTCCTGTTTGGAGACAGGTAGGCCTACATTCTTTAATATACTGTCATTCAGTCACCAACCATCTTCCAATTGTTTTTTTGGGTCTTGTTTATGTAAGTAATATACACTTGAGGAAGGGATGGGGGTCCAAATACCCTCTTCTATTTCTCTTCTGTTGCTGTTCTTTTATTTAAACGTGTTGTAATTACAAGTAAAATACACACAAATATAGGATGAGAGCCATGACCTTGAGTAACCTTGTGTTTTGTTTTTGTTTTTACAGTACATTGTTGTACAGGTTATTTATACAACCTGCTCTAAGTAAGAATGTCTCCTTCAGTGATAGCATCTGAAGGTAGTCTAAAACACATCTGGTTTTCAATGGTTTCTCTCCATGTTTTTGTCACTGGCACAAATCTGTGTTTAGGAAGAAAGGTTCCATCATCTACACTGGATATACACATATTAATAAACATTAAGGTGGTCAACTGATTACAGCTTTAAAACTAAATATGATGATTTTAATTAGGTTAATAATAATGACGTTAATCAATTGTATCAAACTTGTCTCACTGTGACGTGTTTTATTTCTGAGCCAAAAACAGATGTGGAGACGTGTAAGATTTGAGGGCGGAATCAAGAAAGTGTTGGCAGAGAACAAAGTGTTCATCAAGTCACTAGAACTATCTGGTTTACTGACATGAACTGACCCAGCAGATTCTCTTTAAGGACAAAAAGCAAAAACTTATCTTTAGGCAGGTCTGATAATATCGGCCGACAGGCCTGATATTAGCACGACTGTCTAATTGTCATAATTGTCAGAATGCTGGTGCCAGCAGCTCATACAGAGGTTTGTACAGATAAATAAATAAATATCAGCAGGCCCTTAATAGTATTTCAATTTGGGGGAGTGAAAAACTTCTTTCCCGTTTGGACAATATTGACAAAAAGTTAATATCAGACATCCCTACTTTTTTTTTATTTGTACAACTTTTTGTGCAGCTTTGTCACAAGTGATGATGCAGAAACATATAAATAATTCGACACCAGCTGATCGTCACTGCTAACAGAACATTGTGTTGAGACTAGTTTCCATGAGCTAAATACCACTCCAGCATTCGCGTGACGTCATTGATCTTTGCATGTTTCGTTTGGCGTCTACAGACCTGCGTTAGGTTAGAGAATAAACAGAGCCTTTGATGACTGATGTCCAGGTTTTCACTTGATCTAAATCACATCCCAGCAGCATTTTGTTAGATGGTGTTTATAACACGGTTATGGTACATGATAAACTGGTTTACACCTTTACACCCAGGATATGTTGAAGTTCAGGCTCTGAGCTGTCGACGTCTCCACGTTCTAATTGTCACAATTTTCTCCCTCCATCTGTGTTTGATATTCCTTTTCATAAACGTATAAAATCAGTGAAACTTTGGGGTTAAATGAATGATACTGAATATGTGAAATACAAATATTTGTAAAGAAAAACAAACATTTTAGCCTGGGTGCTACTATAATTTCATGTTCAACTTAGTTTCTTTCAAAACATGGTTAGGCATCTTTAAGTGGATCTTGCAGGGAGAAGGAGCCAATCACAGCAGCCTCTGTGTTGAGGGCAGAGGTTGGCACAACAAGGCCAAGGCCACATTCAGAGAGCTATTAATCTGATCCTACAGCAACTGGTAGTTCAACTTCCTGATACATATTCTTGCGGTAAGGCAAGACCACCAACCACTCGTGGTCTGACGTTCTGCATTTGCATCAGAATGTGCTTTAGGCTTGAGCATCACCGTCAGGTTTTGTTTTGGTTCATGGCCGGCGCTCGACTCTGGTGTGGGATTAGGAAATTGGAGTCAATTTTGTTCAGAAAATCTCTGCCCTGACGAAGACACTCACATTCCCTCTACATTACCTTTACCATCACAATCTGACTTCATTCAGTCCTGATGATCTAATCACGGGGCTCCAGAATAATTAGAAACAATCTTTGGTTTCACTGCGTCAGACACACAGACAGAAATCCATTGGTCAATATTAAAGGATTAAATCTGGTGCCTCTGGTGCAAATGTTTTTGCCTGTGGCCACGCGTTAGCTGTTTTAGTATTCACTGAATCAGAAACCACCGACAGGAGACCGGGATCTGAACCGGTCTACGTTTTTATCTTTTATAGCAGTGCTGGGATATTCATTTTCCCAAGGGGCAACTGGCAGGAGTAAATACTGTATGTATACATGTACATATATTTAGATGTATGTGTATATATGTACTTTACAAATATAGACAATTAAAATGATGTGTATGAAAAATGGTATTGGTTCTTCTTTAATCACCAAACATCACCTTTGACTGTGATAATATCTGTCTGTAGTTCCATAGATATCTACATATTTATGTATACATGTGTTTCTGAAAAATTATATAATACAGTATATATACATACACACATATATACATATATATGCTATAACATATACTATGTATGATATATATTGCACAGAATGTCATGAGAATGCTAACACATACCTCCGCTATCTCAGCTGAAATAAGCGTTTGACTTTGACAGATGAAAAGACAACAAGCAGGGCAGAAGATTAGGACGTTTTTTTCAACCTTTACATACGACACGTGTGTAAAGGTTCTGAAAAAATGGAAACCTGTCTGGCTGTGTTATGTAATCTTCTTGTGTATAGCACTGAGCTCAGCCAGGAGTTTCTTGAACGAAGGTCTTTTCCTGGCATCGTACTGCCAGCAGCTGCTCATAATCCTGGAGATTTCCACGGGGCAGGTGTGAGGGGCAGGATAACGGTACCCTGGAACAAACAAACAAACACACTCAATGGCTCAGGAAACAACTTAAAGCTACAAGACAAAATAGCAATCAAAGCTAGCGGCTACACCAGAGCATATATTTATATTTGGCTAGAAACGTAAAACGCAGTGAAAAGTTAACAGAGCAGTGGTCCTGAATGGGTGGTTTGCGGTCTGCATCTGGCCCCTGAGCTAAACAGTAGAAAGTCTACGTTACTGCCAGAACGGCCATTTTTTCTTTTGCTTCAGAAGTAGTAAACCTTTACATACGGTACATACTACGTCTGTGGATTTCTTACGTCCCGATGCAGTTGTGTTGAGTTTTGATTTAAATTCATTTGAAATATGAAATTAAACTATATATATATATATATATATATATATATATATTGCCGTGTTGACACTATGACAGTATGAAGACCCAATCCCATCTGATGTTGCTTCTAGCTTTGTTTTAACTGTGCGTGAATAGAAACATTAAAAAAAAAAAAAAAAAACCTGTTTCAAACTTCAAAGCAGCTTCCCTGGAATCACTGGAGGAATCACACCCACAACCTACTCCCACCTCTTAACCACAGGTTCAAGCACAAGACGACACACACACACACTCTGGCATGTGACTTTACCTTTCTCCACCTGGTCTCGTGCCTGCTGGTTGGTCATACTGGTGTAGGGCGTCATCCCCATGGAGAATGTCTCCCACAGCAACACACCGAAGCTCCAGACGTCACTTTCGGTTGTATAGCGGCCTGAAAACACCAGCAGGGGTCAGCATTGGTACAGGACGGACAGACTTAATGGTTTTACATTGGCATGGGCTCTAGACAGAGTGTGTGTGTGTGTGTGTGTGTCTGCAGACCAGAGGGACTCCTAGTACCACACCATAGTTCAGGGCTTCAGGAGACGTCCACTTGACGGGGACCTGTCTGAGACCTCCGTCTGTGGAGTAGACGCCGTCCTCCTCCTGACGGGACATTCCAAAATCACTGATCTTCACCACATTGTCTTCACCAACCAGACAGTTCCTGGCTGCCAGGTCCCTTTGAAAGGCAGGAGATGAAGGAAAAGGGTCGGCTCTTAAATCATTTTAATGTGTATTAATTGTGCATTAGAGCAATTAAGGAGTGGATGATGGTGAAATAATTGGACATACTGTGCGTCACACACCTATGTCTTCAATGCTTCTTTTGACCGTGACAACTTGATTTATGTAGTTAATGCACTAATATCAACAAACCTAATTAACATGCATTTAGAATCCAACACATAATTAAATAATATAATTAATAATAATAATAATTTATAATTATTATATAATTATAATGATTGCAGCGCAAGTTTACAGCAAGTTAAATTTTCAACCTTTTTTGAACTCTTTGAAATAAAACAATTGTGTATTGTATTTATTGTTTTTGTTTCTCCCCAGAACTATAGCTACAGTATCACTCCCACCAAAGTATGCCGCCCAAGGCGACGTCCCATGAGACCACTGCCAAGAGAGCTGTGCTGCCTCTGGTATGCAGCCCTACAGGCTGAGCTGCTCCCTCCTGTCTGTTCTGATCTGTCACTGCAGCTGGATGTCACAACATCTGAACGCTTCCTCCACATGTGAAGTCACAGAAATTGTTTTCATTTTCCAGGCTCAATAACCGACGTCCCAGCAGAACAAGGACAATGTTTTCAATTAACTGTAGATGAGCTCAGCGACACAGATGGACCAGAACCACCGGGTGGCACCGCTCGGTTCACTTTGGTTGGTCACCACATTATTTGTGTTTCACTTGTCACCAGTAGTAAAATGTTTCAAAACAAGTGCTGTTGCACAGTACCATTCAGTAACTGAATAAAATGATACGACCAACATAAAAACTATACTATATATAGTATACATACATACATATATATATATACACATATATACACGCACACATTGGTGACTGGTCGGTTGACAAACCTGTGAATACATTTCTTGCTCTCCAGGTACTCCATGCCAGCAGCTACATTTGCTACCATTTTGACCAAGGTTTTGCAACTCAGACTGTGGCCCTTGTTCCGCAACAAGGACAGGAAGTCCCCACCTATTGAAATATTTTTCTTATTATTAAAATATTAAACGTGAGGCACAAAAATGGGACAACAAAAACCCACTGATACCTGGAACTAGCTCCATGATGATGTAGATCGGCTGCTGTTGTGTACACACTCCAATCAGCTTGACAATGTTTGGGTGGTCGTACTGTTTCAGGATCCTGGAGATCAAAGCGGGTCAGTTTTATCCACAGAACTGCAGAGGTGTGTTAATTAATCACCATAAGAAGATAAATTAATCGCACTGCTACCTGAAAAAACACACATTTATGTAGATAACATTATGACAAAATATTTGGCATGAACTGAAACAAATATGGTGTGGTTTTAATGGTGATTCTACAAAGAGTAACATGACAACAAAAAAAATGAACGTTTTACTACGACAAATAACTTTGGTTTAACGTATGTCTTTACATTATTCTTTTCTGCTCCAGTTCATGTAAGAGCTGCAGCAATTTTAGCCCCGCCGCAAATTCTTTCATTGGCTGAGCCATGTAATGACAACAGTCCGTAGCAAGTATTGATCAGAAGCACAGTCTTCCCCATAATCCATGATTTGCCAGTGAGCAGACTTCAAATATCGGTAATAATTAAATAATAATTTAAAAAGCATGAACAAAAATTGTTAGTGTTAATAAATTACCGCATTTACTTCTTGTTCTGTTGTACTTTTTGGCACAGCAGGTCAAAGGTCAGGCAGGACATGGACTGTGGAATAACTTGCACATTTGTGTCCCCTGGAAGCCTGGATGTGTGTGCGTGTGTGTCTACCTTGCCTCCATCAGGAACTTTTTCTTGTGATCCGGGTTCAGGTTTTCTTTGCAGGACTTTACAGCTACATGAATGTTTTCCGAGCGTAAATAACCTCGGTAAACTTCCCCGAAGTTTCCCTGTGTAGAGATATGTTCTTATAAACGTATTTGCAAATTCTGGCAGGGAGTAAATTTCACTTTGTATCCAATGCTATGAACATGTGCTTTTAAATCACACTAAAGTTCCTGTACAAAAAAAAAGACATTAAAGACGGGTTTACGATTAGTTACAACAGATTGATGATGTCTTAACAATTGCAAAGGTGTTAGAAGGTTTTTCAAATTGTTGTTCTGGAGACACCTAGGTCCTGCCGAGGTACTTCAGGACACACAGTGTTGATGTTGGCAGTGGTTGCTGTAAACGATGAGATTAGCCTAAGAATACGGAATGTTTACACGGACAAACAAATTTAGCGTTTAAATCATACGTGTCAAACTCAAATGGAGGGTCTTAATACGACTCCTGTCCCTGTAGTACATACAGTATGTGATGCCTGTATGTGGTGTTGAATCAACTACACTCTAGCATAATAACATCTTAAGAATTTGAATCAGAAGTTCGAAAAACCAGAAAAGAAGCGAGTAAACTGTAAATGGAGATGGCTAACTGTACCGCACCACATAGCTGAATTAACGTCTCCAGCACAGTCAAAAGTAGCATGGTTTCCGCCATTGTTGTTATTTTGTGGCATTGAGCAGTACTGAAGGCTGGCATGTAACCTACTAAAATCCAGAATCGAACCCACAACCCTCCAGGTGGGCTCCCTACTGAGCTACAGCCAACAGAAAATATTTTCACTCAGTCTGAACAGAACTGGTCAAACAAAGTGGTTTGATTTTGTTCACTTCACGTTGGACTAGCTGTTAACACACTCACCTGGCCAATGAGCTGCCCCAGGATGATGTCATCGTGTTCCAGCACCCACTTGTCCTGTCGGAGATCAACACCAACAAAGAAAGACACGTGTTAGCACAGGAGGAGGGAGAGTGGGGACGTGGACAGCCACCTGGTGAAAATGTCATTAGAAAGCAGGTTAAAGTGAGCCTGTCATGGGCGGCGACAGGTGGGACTCGTGCCTTGACAACAGCCTTCCTCAGTGTTGCGTCAGTTCTCTTGGTGACGGGTTGTTGTGAGGACAGGAGGTGACTGATGAGCAGGGGCACACTGTGGAATCCTTGTCCATCCAGGCGGTACAGATTCTACTGACACGGGAAAAACACAGAGCGACTTCTCAGGACAGAAACTGAAAAGGTAAAATATGAACAGCAAGCAACATCCTTTAGTGACATTACGGTAATTGAACACAGCAGTCCTGACCAAGAAGATCATCACGCATGAGTTCCCCAGAAAGTACTTGATGAAACACTGCTAATTCTGACTTTTAAGCTAGATTTTGTTTTTTATTTGTATAACGAAATGCACAAGTCACAAATGTTTTAAAACACAGAATTCTGAATTAAAATTCAAAATTTTACTTGAGCTTCAAAAACTGAAGAGTGGGATATGACGAAGGGAAGAGTATAAATAAGAGTATATTAAGAGTATACATTTTCTACCAATAGTAATGAATTCTGTTTTGTCATAGTTGAGTTTGAGGAAGTTTAAGATAAACCAAGATTCCATCTCAGGCAGCTGGAAAGGTCAATAGGTGAGAGGGTGGGGTTGTGTTTGCTGGAGATGTAGTGCTGTGTGTCATCTGCATAAAAGTGGAAAAACATGTTATATTTAGGGAAAATATAGCAATTTATGAAAAGCAAGGGTCCCTGCACAGAGCCATGGAGGACACCTGTGGAAACAGCTGTTACATTCACAGCTCTCCAATAGTCGTTAGCAGTGCTAATGGACATTATCATCAAATGATTCAAGATTTAAGACTTAAAGAGACAGCATTTTAATTATTTATTGTGTATCTCTGTTACAGTCCGCAGCCTCGCCATCCAGAGTGGCTAATCCTCACATGCTGGATCCCTGAGCACTACTTTCAGGAAACACTGAAGCTGATCCCAGACCAGCTGTTCAGAGAGACTGGATGAGAGTACACAAGTGAACTCTTCCTGCAAATGTCATGAATATGACAAGAAGGCCAGAAACGCAGGGTGCCAAGAGGAGTCGGTGCCAACACGCCACTTCCTGACGGCTGCACGCTTGAAAGGACAGAAAGCATGAAACGGCTTCTTTTGTGATGGAGTCAAATGTTAACTATTTCATCATGTGTTTTGTTTAGGAGATTATAAATAGAGCCAGCACAGCTGCTGTCTGAATGCAGCCATCAGGGTCTGGAAGTCTGCAGGAGGAGAGAGGAAGACATTTCCAACTTCCCTGAACTACAGTACTAAACTCGTTTCCACCTCTTCTTGAGCCTCAGAAGGTGGTTTTGGATGACATGGACCAGAATATGTTTCAGATAGTGTAGTTATAAAAAAAACTGGAAACTCCATATTTGCTAAATGTAAATATGAGGTACTACTTCAATTAGGTTGGTTTTTTTTTTTCCTCTCAGTGTTGCGTTGTACTTACCTCTATGTACTGGATGAGGAAATGCTTGCTGGATCCGTCCCACTGCACCGAGAGCACGAAACCCTGTTTGTCCTGACTCCTCCTCACTAAGAAGTCCCCGTTGTTTTTCAGCAGCTGCTGCACCTCCAGCCTGGGGATGGCGCCGTGGTACCAGTCCTGCTGCTCCAGAGGACAGTCTACGGTCAGAGTTAGGACTGAGGGACCCTGGAGGAGAGGACGGAGACTAGTTAAAAGACATTTAAATTGGTATGGCGAAATGATGTGGAGATGGAGGCTCAGTCAAAAAGTACTCAGACAGATGTGCTGATTCCTGCAGGTGTCTGATGTTAATGACCAAAATGTCTGTGTTTGTGTCATAGGTGAGTGGAGTAACCCTGTAACACACCTCACATTTAGGTTTGAACAGAACACTCAGGTTGGTTTTTATCCCATCCCTGACTTTGGAGGGAGTATGGCCCACATCCTGACAGATGAAACACAGTGAAGTTCAGTATAATCAGCCCAGACACTGGGTTAAAAAAAAGACATGGTGTAAATGTACAAGATACAAAGATAGAAACATAATCTAACACATAGAATTTCAGAAATAAAATGAACACAAAAAACAATGAAATTTATAAATTATTATACCACCTATATATATATATATATATACACACACACACACACACACACACACACATCAAGCCAAAAGTACTATTAATAAGTACTGTGAACAATGGAGTACACATACATTTATTGAGTTGGCTGAAGGAACAACAGCATCTGAATCCAGCAGCAGAGCAGGTGGAGGATCCTGGGAGTCCAGCTCCTCCAGCCTCTCCTTCAACATCAGTCTCTGAGCTTCCAGCTTGGCTCTCATTCCCTGAGACAGTGCCACCTGCTGCCGACACTCCTCCAGTGCGTGCCTCTTACTAAAGTGGTAAACCCTGGGTTAACAGAGAGCAGAGTCAAGTCTGTAAAGGTGGAACGTCGTGTCCATGAACAGGAGGTGGGATGGATTCAGGAGTCAATGTTACAACACCAGCCACACAGGCAGTTTATAGACGCACTTCAGAGGTGTCACTAGGAAGAGCCGCATCGATGTGGAACCTGTTGGTGCAAATGGGTTCGCAGATGCTGCCCATTGACTGGAGGAATCAATACAGAGCTGAGTCTCTGCTCCAGGTTAATGAGTGAACAGAGAGGACATCTCTGCTGAGCTCCTGAACCCAGCACACACGGCTCATCAATAATCAGCTAACTAACACACCAAGTACAGACACCAAGTACAGACACCAAGTACAGACAAGATGAGCCGGACTTCTGATGACATCACGACCGCCCTCTGCACACAGTACGTCTGTTGGATGATAGTAATAATGTTGAGAAACAAATGTCAAATCTAAAATGTTGCAGTACCACCCGTTCACCTCTCGGTGTCACCCTCCTGTCTGTGAGATGTCAGCCTGAACATTTGTTCAAACCTCTGATTATGGTTCAGTGATGAGAAACGTCTGATTCACTGTGAAGAAAGTCAACATTTCTGCTGCTCTTGGCCTCCCCTGACTTTCAGTAAGATAAAGTACCAAGACACCGGCCACACAGCCCCTACACACCCCCCCCCCTCCCCCCCCCCCCCCCCCCCAACCAGACTGATGATTAGCTGCGGCGGCTGAACTCTGATGTTGAACAAGCGCTGCTCATTTGTCTTCGCAGCTACTGAAGCCTGTGTGACCTTCTCGCTGACCTTGAACCACCAAACCCAGGGATGATTGATGTGGGTTTGTTAAAGAGTTCCGCTCACCTCCAGCCGTTTCTGGCTCCGTCCTGCTCTTCATCCAACTCCAGCTCCAGCTGCTCAACGGTGGCCTGCTGGGAGCCCAGAGTCCGAGCCAAGCTGAGCAGCTCCTCCTCCACTGTGGTCAGTCTGAGCGGACGGTACAGTAGGATAAAAAAAAGAGGGGGGCGTGAGGGGGTCAAAGGGTCACAAAAAAAAAATGAAAGCAGAAGAAATCAGAGGAATTCATATTCTGGCGTAGTGGTTAGCACGTCTGCCTCAGAAGCAAAGAGAACAGAGTCCTGGGTTCGATTCCCAGAGGAACCACATACTTGATGTTAATCCTCCTCCTTTGGATAAAAGTGTCTGCTAAATGCTGTTATGTTTGTAGTCACCTGTTGTTGACTGGTCCGTGGGTCAGGTGGTTCAGTTCTATCCTGTTGGGACTGAGCTGTACTGCGTCGTCCAGAAGACTGGAGTCAAAGTCTGCACAGACTGGAGTCTCTCCCACAGATCTTCAAACACACACAGACACAGAAACAGACATGAAGGGGTCATGACCGCAGAGCTGTAAGTCCCAGACGTAGCAGCAGAGGGCAGTCTACCTGTTCTGCTGAATGAAGCTGTCATATTCTGTCTGAGGGTCGATGGCAGTTAAAGCGGCAGAAATCTCCGTGTGGATCTGCACCACCTCCTGATGGAGGAGGGTGGAGGTGTCGAAGTACTCCTGGAGGATCTCCTTCCTGTTGGACAGGAAGAAAAGAAGAAAAAAAAAAACAATAAATGAACATGAAGTCGAGCAGCACAACAAAACTAAATACACAAATCAAATATTTTATTTTTATTATTATTTAATACTTATTATAAGTAGTAATATTAATTTAACTAGTAGTAGTAGTAGTACTGGTAGTACTGATACAGACTGTACCAGACATCATAGCAGGTCTCACTACTCTCTATTCTCACCCCTCACACTCGTCTCCACCTTGTCCTTCAGTTCTTTTGTCCACTGTCCATCACCGTGAATCTTTGACCCTGTGAGCTTGACCTCGTTGACCTTTACTACACATCTCTACTTCTTACAGGTGTATTCCCCCCCCCACACATAAACACACACAGAGACAACAGAGTGTAGTGGAGTGTTGCATCTTACAGTATGAGCACCACCTCCTGCTGCAGAGACTGCAGTGCGCTGAGCAGACTGGGCTGGACCACAGCGTAGTGGTGCTGGTGATAAACCTGAGCAGCTCTCACGGCCAAGACGTAGTCGTTATGCAGCTCATGGTGTCTCAGCAAGGCCTTTAGGTAGCGCTCTTTAGCTTTGTCTATATAATAAAAATATAAAATATAATGTCATCAATTTTAATAATATCCATTTCAATACTTTTTTTTCTTTAGTTATAATTTAGTTTCAGTTTGGTGATGTTGAAGGCCTGTTGTGTGGTGATGTCTGACCAGTGAGAGACAAATACAATCAAATATTATTCAAATATTTCATTGCTCTATTTATACATTTTAATGCCTTATATGACCTTTTATTTAATTTATTTATTTTACTGCAAGAAACCTGAAAACAGCTCACTGTATATATTTTCATTGTTCACCTTGACATATAATATATACAGCCAGCTGGAGATGAATGAATATGAATGAAAATAAGGCGGTAAAAAAACAGGACACTGTGTGTGGCTACTTTGGAGTGTATAAAAAAAAACACCGGTCGTCCTGACACACCGGGGGAGGATTTCACCAGACCAACGTGGACGTGAACGTCACCTTTACTGGTCTCATGGAGCCTCCTCTTGGCCTGAGCTGCGTCTCTCACAGCCTGTCTGTAGCTGCTCCTCAGCCGCTCCACGTCTGTCTGAGTAACCTACACACACACACACATGTACACTGGTGAAGTTAAAGTAAAAAGTTCCCGACAATGGTGACACAGGAAGTAGTCAGAGACAGACACACACACACACACACACTAAAGTGACAGTGGTTGTGGTTGACTGCAGAGGAACAGGACACACAAGAGAACCTCGATTTGAGGAAATGGTCTGTGTCAGTGCCGTGCAACAATCTGTGGGTTAATCACTGAGGCAGATTGTCTTCAGCGTTACAGACTGGTGACAGTGGAGATAAAGAGTGTGGTCACTTACTTATATTCATTAATACATAACTTTATGATGCTCAACATACAGTGGGTACAGAAAGTATTTTTAATACAGCTGCAAAAATGTCAACAATTCTGTGTTTTTCTGTCAATAGAGTGTTGTGTGTACATTAATGAGGAACAAAAAAGGAACTAAAATGATTTTAGCAAATGGCTGCAATATAACAAAGAGGGAAAAATTTAAATTAAAAATGTCCGTACCCTCTGTATATGTGATGTATGTATGTGTACATGAGCTAAAGTATCCTAAAGCTAACGTCAGCAGGGTTAAAATCTTTAAGCGCCCGGCGAGCGGTGTGTAGGGACGGCGCCTTGCTCAGAGCACCTCAGTGGCAGCTTGGTCACAGGTGGACTCGAACCTAAAACCTTCAGGATCCCAAGACCACTGCCCCTCATAACTAACAATCAAACATGATCGCAGTAAAATTAGACAGTTATGGAGGCCACCCAAAAATATAATAGTGAACCTGTCAGGTGTAAACAGTGTGTGTGTGTGTGTGTGTCACACACCTTGCTAAGCTCCTGTCTCAGCAGGTTCCACTGCTCTGCGTAGGTTCTGCGCAGCTGCTGTTTGTCTCTGATGAGCAGCGTCAGTTTGCTGATTGGACCAACGACCAGTTCCTCAGAACGCTTCTTCATCAGCTGACTGAGGACGTCCGTCTGAGACAGCAGGACGTCCCAGGACTGGTGGACGAGAGGACAGGATCATATTCAGTGTGTATTCTGTTACAGTGAATACTGTAGTACTGATGAGAGGCAGTTAAGAACAAAGGGTTTTTTATAATAAAATATTTGTGATAAAAGACAGTTTATTTATTATCACCGTTGTCAGAAAAGTTCCAACTATATACAGGTTGTCAGAAAAGTTCCAATTATATACAATTCCAATTAGTTGTCAGAAAAGTTCCAATTATATACAGTGAGACCTGGAGACACGAGCTAGCTGGAATACAGGTATTCTAAGTTACAACTCTTGCTACTACTACTACTACTAGTACTAGTACTAGTAGTAGTAGTACTGCTAATAAGAATAGTAGGACAAGGTTGGACAGACATTTAGGAGATAAAGGTTTAGCTTTAGGTTCAAGGTTTGGTTCCAGTTCTGAGTCAATGTCAAGGGTCAGAGGTAGAGTTAGTTGAGAGCCCCCCTGCCCGGCCCCCCACCCAAATCTTGGGAACCAATGGGTTCAATGAAAGTATAGCAACCAAATTAAAGGAACATCATGTAGGCTTTAGCAACATCTACTGGTAAAGTTAAATAAACATTATGATGTATGTTTGTTTATATTTCTAATCACATCATCAATCATGGAAAACCAAGTGCTGATTGGTTTAAAAAAATTCCCCTCATTTTTGTGTATTCTTTTTTAAATTCCACAGCAGCACCTGCTGACTCTGAGTGAACACCTGGGGTAAACCGTGACCAGCAGTGACCTCACCTTGTTGAGCTGGCTGATGTGACCCTGCCCCGCTCCGAGCTGAGGTCGATCCAGCTTCTCTGCCACAGTGGCCATGTGGTGCAGCTGCACCGAGAACTCCCTCTCGCTCTTGGCACGCTGATCCATCCACTTCTTCATGACCTCCATGAGGTGGAGCTCTGAGTCCAGCAGCCTCATCACTGCTGCGTGGGCCTGGGGACATCGCAGCTCCTCTGCAAACCCCATGTCTGAGTGTCTTCAGGCTGTCCGCTCTGTTGTGAAGCTCGTACCGTCGTTGAGATTTGTCATGAGTGGGGCAGACCCGGGGTAGTGAGCCGCTGCAGCTGCTAATGACTGAGGGCAGTAATTTCTCTTTGACTAAAGAGTCGTTTCACTTCCCACAAGCAGCGGACAGGAACAGAGATAGATGTGTGAGAGCACTTCCTCATGTCAGGGCTGAGTGTGGGCGAGTCTGCAAAGCAAAAATAGACTTTCACATCAGCTGTGTAAAAGAAATAGACAACAAAATAAAAATAAATAAATACATATCTGTTGAAAAATAAAAACCCCACAACAGCTTCATGTAATCATCATGTAATAGAACCACTAGATGACTGTGGCTCTCAAGCTATGGTACACATACCACTGCTGGTACCTGTGCTGCCTCTAGTTGTACATGGGTAAATCTGGGTAAATCTGGTTTCTACACGTTACACAACACACAACACATGGGATCAACGAAATGACCCAGTTACAGAGAAAATGACACAATGAAATTGCAACAGAGTAAAAAAAAACCAAAACTTTATATCCCTTTATTTAAATATATATACACATATATACATATATGTATACATATATACACATATATACATATATGTATACATATATACACATATACATACACATACACACATATACATACACATATAAACACATATACATATATATGGAAATATGAGTGTGGAAGTTTTTCCCTGTTTGTAACTCGCACTTTTTAGTAGTTGCAGTTGAACTATTAAAAAAGTGCGAGTTACAATCAGGTCATATATACAGTATATCACAAGCAACTAATATATCAAAAATGTCATATCATTAATAACCACAAGAGGGCACTGTCTGCATTTGTCACAAATGAACGCTGCTGCACCACTGGAAATGACGAGAATAAACCATAAAGATTTCAATGAAAAATAAACAAAAACATACACAAACAAATACAAAAACGTTACAGAGAAGACAAATCCATACTGTAGAATTTAAACCACAGATTATAAAGCACGAGGACGAAAACACTAGCAATGTAGCAGCAGTGACGAAACTAATGGAACTCACTAGAACTGATGCTGCTCGTGTGTCTGAGGACAGGCCTACAGAGGAGCAGACGGGGCTTCATGTTCCTCCAGAACCGGTGGGACTGTTCAGAAGTGACACCGCGGGTGAATGGATCCACTGATGAGGAATTAGCTCAGAACTTGTTAGCCTGTGAGGGTAACATTTATTAGCCCATGTCTTTCCACATTAACTGGAGGAAGAAGATAAATTAAAATATTTGGACAGAAACCGTCTGGAGTCCGGAGTCTTGTCACGGTTTCACACAGTACCAGGGTTTACTCCGTGAATTAGAACCAAGCAGACATTTTAAACGAAGAAGAGTTAGTGCTACAGCCGTTAGCAGCGGCTGCTCATCTGCCCCCGCTGTTCACAGGTGTAAAAACTGCTGATGAACCGGTGTTTGTTACACGAGATAAGAAAAAAGTTTTAATGTTCTCCTTACCTCAGCGTGAACCCTGTCCCACTTCATTACTGCTATTTATGACTCGGTTCCAGCCCTGGGTGAAACCTCTGTGCTGTGAACTCATTGGCTTAATTACAACAGCCATTCATCACCGAACACCCCGGTCACACAGGCGGCGCAGCAGAGGCACGGAACCAAGGGACGACACAGCGGAGGCCTCGTTCCCGCCCCAGCCACGGCCGGCTCCCGCTCCC